AAACAAACATCGATTTCATGTACTACTATAATATTCCCATGTTGCATATTGAATCTGTGAATCGAAATCCTAATAATGATAAAAACAAACATCGATTTCATGTACTACTATAATATTCCCATGTTGCATATTAAATCTGTGAATCGAAATCCTAATAATGATATAAACAAACATCGATTTCATGTACTACTATAGTATTCCCATGTTGCATATTAAATCTGTGAATAGAAATCCTAATAATGATAAAAACAAACATCGATTTCATGTACTACTATAATATTCCCATGTTGCATATTAAATCTGTGAATCGAAATCCTAATAATGATAAAAACAAACATCGATTTCATGTACTACTATAATATTCCCATGTTGCATATTAAATCTGTGAATCGAAATCCTAATAATGATAAAAACAAACATCGATTTCATGTACTACTATAATATTCCCATATTGCATATTAAATCTGTGAATCGAAATCCTAATAATGATAAAAACAAACATCGATTTCATGTACTACTATAATATTCCCATGTTGCATATTAAATATGTGAATCGAAATCCTAATAATGATAAAAACAAACATCGATTTCATGTACTACTATAATATTCCCATGTTGCATATTAAATATGTGAATCGAAATCCTAATAATGATAAAAACAAACATCGATTTCATGTACTACTATAATATTCCCATGTTGCATATTAAATCTGTGAATCGAAATCCTAATAATGATAAAAACAAACATCGATTTCATGTACTACTATAATATTCCCATGTTGCATATTAAATCTGTGAATAGAAATCCTAATAATGATAAAAACAAACATCGATTTCATGTACTACTATAATATTCCCATGTTGCATATTAAATATGTGAATCGAAATCCTAATAATGATAAAAACAAACATCGATTTCATGTACTACTATAATATTCCCATGTTGCATATTAAATATGTGAATCGAAATCCTAATAATGATAAAAACAAACATCGATTTCATGTACTACTATAATATTCCCATGTTGCATATTGAATCTGTGAATCGAAATCCTAATAATGATAAAAACAAACATCGATTTCATGTACTACTATAATATTCCCATGTTGCATATTAAATATGTGAATCGAAATCCTAATAATGATAAAAACAAACATCGATTTCATGTACTACTATAATATTCCCATGTTGCATATTAAATCTGTGAATCGAAATCCTAATAATGATAAAAACAAACATCGATTTCATGTACTACTATAATATTCCCATGTTGCATATTGAATCTGTGAATCGAAATCCTAATAATGATAAAAACAAACATCGATTTCATGTACTGCTATAATATTCCCATATTGCATATTAAATCTGTGAATCGAAATCCTAATAATGATAAAAACAAACATCGATTTCATGTACTACTATAATATTCCCATGTTGCATATTAAATCTGTGAATAGAAATCCTAATAATGATAAAAACAAACATCGATTTCATGTACTACTATAATATTCCCATGTTGCATATTAAATCTGTGAATCGAAATCCTAATAATGATAAAAACAAACATCGATTTCATGTACTACTATAATATTCCCATGTTGCATATTAAATCTGTGAATCGAAATCCTAATAATGATAAAAACAAACATCGATTTCATGTACTACTATAATATTCCCATGTTGCATATTAAATCTGTGAATAGAAATCCTAATAATGATAAAAACAAACATCGATTTCATGTACTACTATAATATTCCCATGTTGCATATTAAATATGTGAATCGAAATCCTAATAATGATAAAAACAAACATCGATTTCATGTACTACTATAATATTCCCATGTTGCATATTAAATCTGTGAATCGAAATCCTAATAATGATAAAAACAAACATCGATTTCATGTACTACTATAATATTCCCATGTTGCATATTAAATATGTGAATCGAAATCCTAATAATGATAAAAACAAACATCGATTTCATGTACTACTATAATATTCCCATGTTGCATATTAAATCTGTGAATAGAAATCCTAATAATGATAAAAACAAACATCGATTTCATGTACTACTATAATATTCCCATGTTGCATATTGAATCTGTGAATAGAAATCCTAATAATGATAAAAACAAACATCGATTTCATGTACTACTATAATATTCCCATGTTGCATATTAAATCTGTGAATCGAAATCCTAATAATGATAAAAACAAACATCGATTTCATGTACTACTATAATATTCCCATGTTGCATATTGAATCTGTGAATCGAAATACTAATAATGATAAAAACAAACATCGATTTCATGTACTACTATAATATTCCCATGTTGCATATTAAATCTGTGAATCGAAATCCTAATAATGATAAAAACAAACATCGATTTCATGTAGTACTATAATATTCCCATGTTGCATATTAAATCTGTGAATAGAAATCCTAATAATGATAAAAACAAACATCGATTTTATGTACTACTATAATATTCCCATGTTGCATATTAAATCTGTGAATCGAAATCCTAATAATGATAAAAACAAACATCGATTTCATGTACTACTATAATATTCCCATGTTGCATATTAAATCTGTGAATCGAAATCCTAATAATGATAAAAACAAACATCGATTTCATGTACTACTATAATATTCCCATGTTGCATATTAAATCTGTGAATAGAAATCCTAATAATGATAAAAACAAACATCGATTTTATGTACTACTATAATATTCCCATGTTGCATATTAAATCTGTGAATCGAAATCCTAATAATGATAAAAACAAACATCGATTTCATGTACTACTATAATATTCCCATGTTGCATATTAAATCTGTGAATCGAAATCCTAATAATGATAAAAACAAACATCGATTTCATGTACTACTATAATATTCCCATGTTGCATATTAAATCTGTGAATAGAAATCCTAATAATGATAAAAACAAACATCGATTTCATGTACTACTATAATATTCCCATGTTGCATATTGAATCTGTGAATAGAAATCCTAATAATGATAAAAACAAACATCGATTTCATGTACTACTATAATATTCCCATGTTGCATATTAAATCTGTGAATCGAAATCCTAATAATGATAAAAACAAACATCGATTTCATGTACTACTATAATATTCCCATGTTGCATATTGAATCTGTGAATCGAAATACTAATAATGATAAAAACAAACATCGATTTCATGTACTACTATAATATTCCCATGTTGCATATTAAATCTGTGAATCGAAATCCTAATAATGATAAAAACAAACATCGATTTCATGTACTACTATAATATTCCTATGTTGCATATTAAATCTGTGAATAGAAATCCTAATTATGATTGTACAGTTGATTCCTTTCACTGTTCCAGTACACCTCAAACTTGTGCTGAAGGGGTGATAATTCTGTCTTAATCGGTTCCACCTTTACTTCACACGCGCGTCTACGATTTGCGACTTGAATGACTTCTCTTTAGCACTTTTCTTGAGCATTTTGTTTTATTCCTCATTATTTTTTTTTTCCGCTCCCCAAAAAGAATGTTTGTTTTGTTTCTAGATTGACTGTGTGCAACGAGCGTTTTTCTTATTTTTAATTTGTTGTGATTTAATCCATTTTTTCTTCTTCTTACTTCCTCCTTCACCCCCACCCCCCCTTCCCCTCTCACACAACACTGTAAATAAGATAAATAATAGAATAATAAGCACACACACATACACGCACATACACGCCTAAAGTACTAATGGCATACCAGCTGCAAATCCACTTGGCCTAGAGCGGGCATAATTAGAGAAAGGCCGTGAACTCTGTGATAATGTGTTACGTCCCCTGCCATCTTTATCTTATTATGTTAGGGATACCATTGCATGCGGCAATCTCACGAAGCCAGTGCACATAGGTCACATTTCGTGATGAGATAGATGCATGTTGGCAGTAGAATAAGTAGTATTTTTGTCAAATGTGTGTGTGTGTGTGGGTGCGTGAGTGTGTTCTTGTAGCTTGTATTATTGACAATATAAATAGAAATATACTTCGATTTCACACAAAAGTAGACATACTGCATTGATCCTCTATACACTCGATACAACCATCACTATTAAATTATATATATTTAGGTACATATATTATAATTATACATACAAATGTGTGTGTGTGTGCGGCGTTCCTTTATATTCCTAGAGTACAAATTTATTATGATTTACTTCACACCAAAGGCGTAGCTACTCATTCCGGCGCCTGAGGTGAACTATACCCCCCCCCCCGCCCCTTTCCCATTTGTGTTTAGTTATTCATTTTGGTAAAAAAAAAGCGCCCCTTCCACTCTTATTTGGAAAAGTTTTGTGGCATTTTTTTACCAGTTATTTTCCCATTTACAGTTGTTTGGCGACACACAAGTGATGTAGAAAACAGTCCATGGAAAGTTGGGGGGGGGGGGGGGTGGCAATGTACAGAGGTAATTGATCGGGGGAGAAATGGCAGAGGCGGGGTGATAGACAGGGGGATATGTCCCCTGTGTTTACATTGTCCGCCTTCCCCCTGCTTTTGCGCCATACATGTTTGCATGTACTCTAGTCGCCAAAGTTTAAATCTAAATGTAACATTGATCGTTTTTTTAATCTTTTACCATCCCTAACCGCACATTAGTAAACACGAGAGCTGGTTATATGAAAAACAAGCCGCGAAGATCAAACACTTTGATACGAAACAAAGTATACGCAATTGTTCAAGCGTGTACCCTCGCGTACCCCATCCCCCACATACGTGACTTTATTTCAGTCAACAAAACAAGCATGTACCCCCCATCCCCACCCCCGATCCGTCACTATACTTCAGTCAACAAAACAAGCGTGTGAATGTTTAGCCAACCGCCTACAGATGCCGTATATTATGTCCTTTTATCTGTTGTTGTTTGTTGTTGTTGTTGTTGTTTGTTGGTGCTTGTATTGGTGTTAACTTATTCAGCCAGTAAGGGTTAATAGAGGAACTATTTATAAAAGCTCAGCGGTGGGGATGGTTAAAGCAGATTGACGTGAATCATTTCACATTGCAAGTCTTTCCTGAATACAAACACTTTAGGTAATGTGCTTTATCTACATGTATTCTAATGGTAGGCCCTGAGCTTCTTCTTCTTCTTCGTTCTTAATTTTTAGTGTTGGGAGGGATCGCGCCTTATCTGCCAGAGGGTTTGAACTCGAGACTTTTTTTTTCGAATTTATCAACCATGAGCTTTGCCGACTCGACCATGCTTCCATCACAATTAAGGATTACGTGTCAACTGATTATGCGCCATTGAGGCCATTGACTCCGATTTCAGCCTGCTTTTCTTTTTGGATTTGCTTCCATAGCCTTTGTCCAACCAAGAACAAACTACAAGGCAGCAGTTGTTTGATTTTGGAGTTGTCTCTCCTAGAAGAGTGGCTTATATTATTTTATGTAAAGCAAAAAGGTAATTTTTCGTTGTTATATATTAAGGAATTAAGTTTAAGGGAGGTGGTTGAATGGTAGAGCGTTTGACTGCTAGCCAGAAGGTATAGAATTCAGATCTGCGATTGGGCATGCGACTTAAAACGTCCCTGAGACCACCCAGCTCCGATGGGTAAGTGACTCACATTGGGGAAAGTAAAGATGGCTGGTGTATAGTGATGACTACATAATTCCTAATGCCGAGGTTAAGAAACATGAACTTTATCTACCCAATGCATTGATGAGCCTTGAAAGGAATCCCTTAAGTAACTAGGCAGGTGTGGTAAAGAGCATTGACTTATAACATCGTATTTAACAAAATAGGCCATGTGTATTCAAAATGATAATGTTATATATATATATATATATATATATATATATATATATATATATATATATATATATATATATATATATATATATATATATATATATATATACACACACACATATAGTAGGTTGGGTGAATAGGACGATTCAACGTTCTTATTCATTTATTTTCTTTTAACTCAATTTAATTATGTCTTTACACCTTTTTTGATACTGATGTATTTTTCAGTAGTATGAGTCAAACATGTGGAAGAAAAGGGGGAAGGGGGCGGTCGAGGTTCTGAAATATGTTATTTTGGCAGGGTTTTACAGAAATGTTACATAACCTCATGAGAGAAATGTTTTTTTTTCCTGTGTGTTGTTAATTGTATCTTGTATGCACGATTTCTTTAAGGTAAACTTACATGAATTAACTTGTCTGTGTAGTAAAACTTTTCGTTCTTACTTGCAAATTTTAGATTATTTTTTTAAGCAATGTAAGCTCTTTTTTTTTCTTTAAAAAAAGATACATTTACGAAGAAGGTTGGTAGTTTGTAAAGGGAGACAAGTTGCCCGGTCATTGCCTAACTTCCCTTGACGACGCTAGAATATGAAGTTAAATGTATGGTTCACAGGTGTGGGGATTAACTTAATCACCCCACACGCGTCTAGTGTTTCCTTTAGAGTTAAGCTTGGATTACCCTAAAACAGAAAACTATTACAACGTTGGTTGTGACAATATCGTTTAATGTTACAAGTACGTACAATCGGGGTGGAGGGGGGGGGGGGGCTGGCAGTATTCAAGAGGCCCGGAACATTTTTAGGGGCCCCCAACCCCAGATTGAAATGTTCACTGTACACGTTCTCTCCATCTATGCCCGAACTTTACGCTTTGGTATGAAGAAATGATAGAGTAGCAACAAATTAAAACAAAAACAAACACGGCCTGTTACGGTGCCGTTCCTAGGGGCCCACTGGGATTTTCCCCGGGCAGTGTTTCTTACAGATTCTTTTGTAGCATTTGATTTTTTCGGGGTGGGGGTGGGGACTAAATTTTCCGGGGGGGGGGGGAAGGTTGGACACTGTTAAAAGTATACAGTTTCTATATCAATTGCATTTCGTTCGGGGGGGGGGGGGGGGCGCTAGACTTCCTTGGGGGGGGGGGGGGGGGGGCTCTGCTTCCCTTCCCCCCCTTCCGAAGAGATGCGTGGAAGAAACTCTGTTGACCGGCGGGCCAGTCTACCCCTCCTGAACACAAAGGGTCGAGTTCCATTCCAGGGCTCCAGTCCTTATGACATATCTGAGTCAACTCAGCTATAATGTGTACCGGCCTTGTGTAGGGGAAATTAAATTAGTGTAGGTAAGGTAGAGTGAACCAGAAACCAAGGCACTAGAAATTATATCAGCTCTTGTCAGCGGCCTATGTCCCAGTAGGGACGACAGGCAAACATGAACATGAACATGAACACATTCTTTCATTGTTAATCTTATTCTGTTTTTTTTTTTCTTTTTGGAAAAAAAATTATCTTACATGCATTCTTATTGAGGCAAATCTATTTATTTTTATTTTCATTTTTTTGACCCCTGTTGGCTGGTATTGGTTTTTCTATTTTGAGACAAAGATTTTCATAATCGCACTTCGAATGTGTACGAAATCTGTCTAGTTGTAGCTTAGATTACCTGTTTTTACTAACCTCAAACTGGCAGTTTTAAAGTAAACATAAGTTAAACACATTATCCACCCTCCCCCCCCCCCCTCCTTTCGCTTTATTTTTGCATTGATAAGAGCCAGATGTAAGAACTATATTTAAAGCTGTAGCTATTCTTGGCAAACCACGGGTCGTTCTCGTTAAAAGTTGGAAAATTCTAGAAACTCTACTCCCGCTTGAATATTTTTAATCGTCAGCGATTTAAAGATAAGATTTCACCGTCTCTGGCAATGTGTGAATTTTTTGTCCTGTAATCCAATATGGCAAGTCTTAACGTAGATCCAGTAATAAAATGTAGCCAGATACGACGAGGTAATTTTAGCCAAAGCAAGTCCCCACAGAATTTTCCACCGAGGTAAAGCTGAAAACACAGCAAAAAAAAAAAATAGTTGTAAATTCGACCAGACAAAATGTATAGCAAGTAGACCCACGACGTACAACCATCAGGTCTAGGGGAAGTAGAGTTTACGTAAATCGGCAGGTCGAAATAGTGAAAAAAATTAGTTCATAATTAAATAACCATTTCGAATCTGGTGTTCTATGGGGCAGGTGGAGTAGTTCGTCTATTTTTTGTAAGTGACCTTGGCATAGAAAGGGATAATGCGGTCATCAATATGCCCAGCCGACTTTACTTTCCCTAATGTCAGTCAGGTACCCATAAGGCGTTGGGTGGACACACGGACGTCTTTGAGACTCGAAACCGGAATCCGAACTCGAGACTTTCGGGTTAGCAGTCGTACGCTCTACCGTCCGGCCATAAGTTCATAAGGCTGACCTATACCCCATGACAGTGTGTTAATCTATAAACCATTATCTCACCAATTGAGCCACATGCCATAGTTCTTAAAGATTCTCTATAGCATACCAGACCTTCAACTAGCCCATCCACCCGGCTAATAGGTCTTGGTCCTTGTGTTTCAGCCTCTTGGTCCCACAAGATTGTTCGGCAGTACAACGTGGATTCGAACCTACAGTTCTTATCATGTAAAGGTTTTTTTTCTATTGCCTTGCACACACGCACACATATTAACAAACACACATAAGCTGACCAAAATACGAAATACAACGTCAATTTTAAGCTAATTGGACGTTAGTTAAGTGAGCAGCGCACACACACACACACACACACACACACACACACACACACATGCACACGGACACACACACACCCATATACATATATATATATATTTACGTTTGTATATATATATATACATCTGTATATATTTGTATTTATATATAATGTATATATATATATGTTGGCACCGGTCGCACTCCATACAGTGCTTACGGATATCATACTCCATATTTGGCCAATAACAGCGACGCCGCAGAAGTTGAAGACAACGTTCCAGCCCCTGGTGGCCGTTGGACTCGTGTCCCAATCCTAAGGCTTGACGTCTGTACTTTTCAGGCAGAACCACTTGCATTATTGGGTCGCCCCCGGGTTCGATTATAGACCTGTACAGTACGCCATCCTTCAGGATAAGCCTCTTCTTTTGTCTCACTAGCGCTCGGCAAGGCCAGGGAAGGCCGGTGGTTGTGGTTGATTTAGACTCCATCAGAGAAAGTACCGGGCCAATAGCAGGATCCAAGGCCTGCGCAGCCTGCATCTCGTGGTGAGATACCGAAGGAAAAGAGTAGATGGGTGTTGCTGGGATGGAATGGCAGAAGGTTGAGATCTGGTTGTGGGATACTTCGGGTGGCACATTGGTGGATATTTTAACCGAGTATACCTCGACATATCGTTCTTCAATATCGTTCTCCTGTGGTACCTCTACAGGGTTGCGAGAAAGTGCATCCGCATTAGCGTTCAGCTTTCCCGATCGGTACTGGATATCAAAGTTGAAAACATCTAGGTCGGCCACCCAGCGTTGTTCAGTCGTGCTGATCTTTGCACTTTTAATATAGCTTAGAGGATTATTGTCCGTATAAACAATAAACTTGGCCCCTAATAAATAACCCCTAAACTTTTCAGTCACGGCCCACTTTAGGGCTAACAGTTCCAGTTTTGTAGCGCTATAATTCTTCATGTTACGTTCGCCAGGTCTTAGAGACCGACTGGCATAAGCGATGACTTTCAGACCGTCGCTTTGTCTCTGGCTTAACACAGCGCCTAATCCCTGGTAGCTGGCATCTGTTTCTACGATAAAAGGTATAGAAAAATCAGGGTAGCCTAGAACTGGAGAGCTGGTTAAGGCTGACTTCAAGTTGACAAAGGCTTTGTCTTGTTGTTCGCCCCAAAATTCAACAATAGACTGTCTCTTGTTCTTACTTTTGACATTGACAAGAGTGACGACTTCGTGCAGAGGCTTAGCGATTGTGGCAAAGTCTTTTACAAACCGCCGATAGTATGACGCTAGTCCAAGGAATGATCGAAGTTCATTCAGGGCCGATGGAGTTGGCCAGTTGTTAACAGCCGAAACTTTCGCTGGATCAGTCTGGACACCCTTTTCAGAGACTATGTGCCCCAAGTATTGAACTGAAGTCGCACCAAATACGCATTTACTGGGGTTCAGTTTTAGTCCTATCTGTCTTAATCTGCTCAAGACTTTGGCTAACCGTTCTAGGTGTGCTTTAAAATCTGGGGAGTACACCAATAAGTCATCTAAGTATACCAGCATTATGTCCATGATGAAATCATTCATTACACCTTGCATGAGCCTAGAGAATGTTTGCACTGCTCCACATAATCCAAATGGCATTCTAGTCCAAGAATATAAACCGAATGGTGTGATGAAGGCTGTTTTCTCCTGATCATTTTCATCCATGGCTACCTGATGATACCCACTGGCTAGGTCTAAAGTTGAAAAATAACGGGAACCTCCCAGCGCATCTAGCGATTCTTCTATTCTGGGTAGGGGAAAAGCATCTTTTCTAGTGACATTGTTAAGCTTCCTATAATCGCAGCATAATCTCAATTCACCATTCTTCTTTTTCACTACCACAATGGGAGCTGCATAGGCACTAGTACTGGGCTTAATTACCCCTTTAGATGCAAGTTTTTCAATATGTTCTTTGACAGCTCGGAACTCAGCTGGTGGAAGTCGACGATAAGGCTGAGCAACCGGTGTATCATCAATCAGAGGGATCTTGTGTTTAATTAAGTCAGTAAAACATAAATCATCATCTGACCAGGCAAATACATCTTGAAATTGTTCAAGTAGAGAGTTCATAGCCGCTTGCTCTGCATGGTTCAAGGACGTGGATATCAATGATGTAAATGATACCTTATTCTCCACCTGGTGATTCACACTGCCCATAGTATTGGAGGTCTGAGGTGACGGCCTTACAGTGATTTCAGCCGCCACATGGTTGACTTGGATGTCTACTTCAGACGAAGGCGTGAATGGATGGATAGTGCCGATACAAGTTCTAGGATGGATCGTTATGCTCTCGTCCGACAAGTTGACAATGCCGACACGGAATAGACCTCTCTCGGCAAATGTGATCGCTGGAACTAACAGTAAGTTTGGGTTGAAGGATACTGGCAGTGGCTGTACCATCAGTTCACAAGGTACACTTGGGTCACATCCAGTAGCACTAATCATTTGGATGGACCTGGCTGGGATGATGGAAGTATATCTTAAAGTTCTTGCTCGCCCATCTTTCACCAGTTCCTTGGCAGGTTGTATAAACGAGGCGAGGCCATTAACATCTTTTAAAATGTTCATGCCTAACAGACACGGGGCAGTGGACTGCGAAGACGCCGAGTCCCTTATCACTAGGAAACCCTTGTCAGGTAAAACTTGTCCATTCAACTCTACCGTGGCCAAAAAATATCCAATATACGGCACACTCAGTCCATTCGCTGCAGTCAACCGGAAACACTTTGATGGAATAATTTGCAGAGGACCCTGAAGGTAATCTAGAAAAAAGCTTTCAGTCACTGTACTGACCTGAGACCCTGTGTCGACTGTTGCCAGAAGAGGTGACTGGTTAATGTTAATTTTTACCGTAGGACAAGCTCCAACCAGGGGCGGAACTACAGTGCCGCCAGACCCCGCAATGCGGGGGGGCCCACGCCATTTAGGGGCCCATAGCCGACCATAATAAATTTTTTATAGTTAAAAAAAAAATAATTTTCTTGCATTTTTGACTTGACGGTAAAAGCTTTTGTAAATTAAAAAAAAAACAGATCTACTACAGTAGTGATGTTATACAGTAGTGATGTTATACAGTAGCTAACACATGCTGTTGCGTAAAAAAATATATATGCCTGAGCTTTAGTGTGAAAGATAGACAAACGTTCAAAACACTTCCATGACTTATTTCCCTTTTTTAAATAGTTAAATAGGGGTGATCATAAGCTCCTTTTAATATATTTGTACTAAACAAATTAAAAAGCAATTACTTTTCTTAACTATTATTTTAAGAAAAATACATACTAAAGAATGACATAGCAAAAGATGGTAATATATTTAAAAGAAATAATTTAAATATAAAAAAACAACATAAAAATAAACATAACACGAGAAACCATTACACATACAAAGCTTTCAAGTTTTATATTCTTTTGACCGGCTGAAAAAATTAGAGACTAAGCAGTATTACAGTAAACACATTAAAAAAGATTAATAAATTTAAAAAAATTGTAAAAAATAAAAAAATAAAATAGTTCTAAATCTAAAAAAAATAAATTCAAAACAGACTAATGCATGCGCACACATGACATGTTGTAATTTGTTTTAATTGAAAAACAAGTTAATAAAAAGTCTAGTGACAATTTAAGCGCAATTTCCTTAATTAATTTTTTGTGACCGAACGAAAGGATATTTTTAAAACTTTCTTCGGCAATATTGTTCTAAATTATGACAGGAATCGATTGGTAAATGTTTCAAGTCGCTAAGTGGTCTGGTTGCCGAGATATGGGCCAAAAACTGCATTTTTTCGAGGTTTTTTTTGGCTTTTCCGGGAAATCCAGGAAGGAATTCCGGGAATTTTTTTGGCCCACAACCATCCTCGGAACTTGCTTAACATATTTGCTTTGGAACTAGTCCTCGATATTGCTTCGTTGAGGAGGAGATACGACTTAAAGATGCGGACACACATCCATCCAGAACGAGTTAATAATCGCAATTGACCGTATGGAAATTGCGCTAAAAAGACACACACACTCACTCACACATATATATATATATATATATATATATATATATATATATATTGGGGGCCCAGAAATTCTTTTTGCGGGGTGGCCCTATTTTTCTAGTTCCGCCACTGGCTCCAACCAGTTTCTTCCAGAATGACGAGTCGTCTGACCTCCCTCCAGTAGCTCGACTCTGCACTACTGTGGGAGTCCTTTTTTTGGACAGTACCTGGCAATGTGTGCCGGACTGTTACAGATGTAGCAGTTAAGTGACCTTCGGAAGTTCTGGAATCGCCTAGCGGGAGCTCGGGGTGGTTCCCTGAGCTGTGTAGAAAGGTCGGCCTGTACTCGTTGCATTTCCTGCAGCTGTGTCGCCAGGTCACTGACCTGTTTAGTCAGAGTAAGGACGAGACCTTCTAACTCTGTTGTGGCCTGGCTCGATGTGACGGCAGACGATCTGGCCTCAAAGGTCGTTGGCTGCTCGTCACCGCACCACCGGATAGCAGCATTTCTCAGCTCCAGGAATGTGGTACCGGGACTTTTGTGCAGCTCTTCTCCCAGGTACCTGCGTAGGATCGGGTCTTGTAGATTCTCAACGAAGTGGTCCCTCAGGATTTGCTCATCCGTAAGGGACACTTTAAGGGCCTCCTGTCTCGCCGTCAGAGATTCAAACGCCTCATGTAGACGATGTGAGTACGCCCTCACTGACTCCGCCCTATGTTGGTGAATCTGTTGGAACGCTCCAGTAAGTTGTGACACACTTCTCTGCTCGCCATAGATGGCTCGCAGTACTTTAAAGGTTTCCTCCGGGTTGTCTCTCACAACCTTGGGGTGGCACTTCAGCTCGGCGAGGACGGACTCCCCCAGGTGTGACCACAGGAAGTCCCGTCGCTCCTCATCGGACAGGTCTTTACGCACCTTCCACGCCCGGCTGACATCTCGGATGAAGCGCTCTACTTCATCAGCATGACCATCCCCATGGAATCTTCTGATTGTGACCTCTCTCTGGGGTACTATGATGACGGTGGCGGGGGGCTGTCTATCTTCGCCACTGTCGGCCATACTTAAGCTGGGTTTTTACTCTTCTTAAAAAACTTACACTAACTATCCTAACAACCTAGCTTAAATCTATACCCCTGGGCAAAAAAAAATTAGCCTAATAAAAAAATAAAGTTTGGCTTGTCCAGCACGGATCCCACTTCTGACACCAAATGTAAGGGGAGAACCGAGAGGTGATCTCATCCACTCATCCGTGCCCTTCGTTGTCAAAGGGGTTTGTTAAACCTAGACAAACCAAACTAAACTAGACTAAGAAAAGATAAAGTCAAGTCGGGTAACTATGAGGTACTTTATTCCACAACTAAATTAAAATAAACCTACACAAAAATTAACTAAAATGTAAAACTTAACTCGAAGAAAAATAAACCAAAATGATTATTCAATCCAAGTAAAAAACCCAACAAAAATAGGCCGACAGCAATTTATAGTATAAAAAGTTCTCTCCAAGCTACACCAAAAAAACCGTCTCCTTTCTATCTCTACCTAACGCATCGGCCGTCTTATCGGTCCTGATCCCCCACCGCTGCCTTCCTCACCCAGGTAGACATGGGGTCATCCGAGAGGGGGAGGGGCACAAACAATGCCTTCCTGCCTCGTCACTAATCTGACTTGCAAATTAGGTTCAAACCGCACTGTAGAGACGCTGGAAGGGGGGATGACGGGGAGCAGCGAAAGGGACACCAGCCAACATATATATATATATATATATATATATATATATATATATATATATATATATATATATTATATATATATCTATAATATAAGCGGGCTGAGCGTGTCCTTCCTTCCGTCCGTCATCGCTATAGATTTTGGGACTATAAAAGTAAACTGCGCACCACGCTGTGCTTTTCAGTGCACCGCAGTGTCTTATTATATGTATTAGAGTAGGGTTTGTTTATATAGCGGCAAAGAGCTATTTTATAATTTCCACTGTTTGTACAATTTTGCATAACGTAAAGAGAATATTAAATACACGCACATTGCTAAAACATATTAAAAGGATCAATGTCAAATATAGTTTTCGTTAATATTCCCAGAAAAAAATGGATATATTATCATGAAATTAGGTCGAAAAAACTAATTAATTCAACTTTTTTTTGGTATTTTTTTTGCAAGGGAGGTAATTTGAAAATATATTTAACTCATCAATATCTAAGTTAATTTTTTTTTTATTACTACCGCATTGATTATTATATGTTAAGGTTCATAATTAAAATAGAAAAATGTTAAGATTATTTATATTATTTATTATTATTTTCTAATTAGTCTATGATTTCTCAAAAATCACTATCTTTTTGCTTTTGTTTTTCGGTGTTATGAAAACAGATGGTGAAATTAGACTTTTTGAGAAGAATGGAACGGCTCTCTCTGAGCGCGGACGTATGGGAAAATGTTTTTTTTTAATATTCAACTCACTCTCAATAATTTAAGTTAATTTTTTTTATTACTTCCACATTGATTATTATATGTTAAGGTTCATAAGTAAAATAGAAAAATGTTAAGATTATTTATATTATTTTCTAATTAGTCTATGATTTATCTATATCACTATTTTTTTTTTTTTTTTTCGGTGTTAACAGATGGTGAAATTTTAGAATTATAGTATAGAGAATGCTGAAAAGGCTCTCTCTCTGGGCGCGGACGCCTGTGAAAAGCGTGTTTTTCGGTGGTGATTCTAATTACATTACCAATGTGTTTTCTTAGAACCATAAAAGTAAACACCACTTGCCGTACATTTATTTGCATCGCATTGTTTTATTGTAAGTTATGGAGTAGAATCTATTTATGTGACCTAAATAAAGGCTCTCTTTGGGCGCGGACGCCTAAATAAGCGTGTTGTTTGGTGGTGATTCTAATGTTGTGGCTGTGGTTGTGTTGTGGTTGTGTTGTGGTTGTGTTGTGGTTGTGTTGTGTTGTGGTTGTGTTGTGGTTGTGTTTTGTTTGTGTTGTGGTTGCGTTGTGGTTGTGTTGTGGTTGTGTTGTGGTTGTGTTTTGTTTGTGTTGTGGTTGCGATGTGGTTGCGATGTGGTTGTGTTGTGGTTGTTTTGTGGTTGTGTTGTGGTTGTGTTGTGGTTGTGTTGTGGTTGTGTTGTGGTTGTGTTGTGGTTGTGTTGTTGTTGTGTTGTGGTTGTGTTGTGGTTGTGTTTTGTTTGTGTTGTGGTTGCGTTGTGGTTGTGTTGTGGTTGCGATGTGGTTGTGTTGTGGTTGTGGTTGTGTTGTGTTTGTTTTTGTGCTGTGTTTTTGTTTTTGTTCTGTTCCAAAGTTGTACATTTAAAAAGATTTACCGTGGCGGAGCACGGGATGCAGCTAGTATATATATATATATATATATATAAATACTTATTTATATGTATATATTTACATGCATATTCATATGTATGTTTGTTTATATGTATATAATCTAGGGTGGCTGATGTTTTAAATCCAAAGGGCGAATCGGGCTAAATAATCGAACTTGTAGTTTTAGCACAGACAGAAAGGGATTTTTAAAAAATAAATAATTACCGAACATATTTAGTGTAATAAATGATATACTAAAGCAGTTTTAATACATTAAAAACAAATAAAAAAATAATATTGAAATGTATTACATTGCTTATAAATGTGTATAAGTTATTTCCCATTTAATAAATATTGAAAATACAAAGGGAAACAATTTGTGTCTATATTTTTTAAATTTATGTGAAATTCAGTTCTAATAAATAACAGCGTGGGTGTATTAATTGTGCATTAAACTAAAACAAATTTAAAATATTATATCTTGAAGTTGTCTATTTGTCTGAAAATAAATACCTATATTATTATTTGATCTCAGTTTAAATAAACAATACTAAGCTATGTTAAGTACGTACTTTGTTTATATATTAAAACAATTTTAGACAGCAATAATTATTGGTGTGAATTCAGCCTCTAAACCTAAGGGGTATAAGTTTTTTCGTTATGAAATTCGTTGTCCTTTTACTAATTTAAAAAAAAAAAAAAAAAAAAAAAAAAAAAAAAAAAAGTTTTTTCGTTTATATTTTTAGTAATACAGAGCATTGAATTACAACTTAATTATATATTTGCATTTTTCATGTTTTTTAAATAAAATTGTAAATGGACTTTAAAATTATGTATTAGTAAACCATCTTAAATGGATAAAAGAACATTACATTTACTGTTGTAAATCTGTGTCAATCCTCACAAGCCGATGATGAAAACTGTAATACTACAGCGAACATGACAAGACAAACTGACGCTGCAAATTGCATGTTTATGGCAAAAATAATAGGAATAATTATATATGTATATATATATATATATATATATATATATATATATATATATATATATATATATATATATATATATATATATATATATATATGAAACCACTTGCCTGCAATAATTAAAGGCTAGATCCGCATTTGATGGTTAGACTAATTCATGTTTGGATGACAGAATAGACTTTCACCACTTTATTTCCATCTCTAGGTCAATTCCATACAGTATACTACGTAACCGGTATAACTATAGGAAAGAACGCAGCATTGAAACTAACACAGAGGACGATAAAAGAGCACCAATACCACGTAAGTTTGATCAGAGGTGGGGGGTTGTTGGCGATTGTTGGCGATCGTTGGTGATTGTTTTAATAACATTATATCAAAAGGTGGGGTGTCGCAGCTAAACAGTTCTTAACACAGGGGCGTCCTAGTTTGATAAAGTCCTGGGATGGGGCAGTTGTAGCTATGGCTGTCTTAGCTCGGGGTTGGGGTTTCATTTCTTCACCTAAGGATGGTGTGGCGTAGCTACACATTTCTCAAAACGGGGTTTAGGGTGTAATTTCTTAATCCGGTATCGGGGTGTCATTTCCTAGCCCGGGGGTAAGGTGTTGTGGTTGAACTTTCCTTAACCTAAGGGTGGCGTATGATAGCTACGCATTTCTTAAACCGTAGGTTGGGGTGTCATTTCTTAGCCCAGGGGTAGGGTTTAACGTAACTTTTCGTAACCCATGGGCGTCGTAGTCCGAGGATAGAGTAGCGTACTACACCTTTCTATGCAGGGGACAACTCAGTTATGTATTTTGTGACAAGGAGGGGGGGGGGGGGTACACCATGACGTAAACATGCAAACAGTAGAGAAATAAATGCTACAACTAGCTGTATTAACAACCGACTATAAATAAACATCATTAGTATTGAATGTGAACATTTTAAAGCATTTACCTGAGGGGGGGGGGGGGGCGACACTATAATAACTGCAAAAATTTACAGAGCAAAGAGAAAAAAAGAAAAAAAGGGAGTGAGGTGACATGATGAGGTGCCACACCGGGTGACACCCAACCTAGCAACGCCTTTGGCAGCAAGTTTAGTTGAGTCACACGTTACCGATGTATCAGCCCCCCCCCACCCCCTTCCCGCCATCTCTCAACACAGTGGTTGAAAGAAATAAATAGAAACCCAGTAATACTCTTTAATAAAGGAATTTTATTCAACGTATGTTTCAGTGATTTTAATGACTCTTTATTCACCCTGTGTTAAAATCACCACCAGCTCCTATACCTGCAGACGTCCTACAGGTGGTGAGCGTGGACCTGCAGGTGCCTGCCAACTGCAAGAAACACAACACCCACAGGTACGACCTGTGTAGAGCCAAGGACAACCCCAAGCTGGTTGTCAGACGAGGACAACCCTTCACCATCCAGGTTGAGTTCACCAAAGAGTATGACGCCAACACTGACGATCTACGCATCGCTTTTGAAGCAGGTTCGTTAACTCTGTTCTTTTAAGTTTTTTGAAGCAGGTTCGTTAACTCTATTCTTTTAAGTTTTTTGAAGCAGGTTCGTTAACTCTATTTTTTTTCAAGTTTTTTGAAGAAGGTTCGTTAACTCTAGTTATTTTGACGTCCTTTGAAGCATGTTCGTTAACTCTAGTTATTTTGAAGTATTTTGAAGCACGTTCGCGAACTCTGGTTTATTTTCAAGTCTTTTGAAGTAGGTTCGTTAACTCTATTCTTTTAAGTTTTTTGAAGCAGGTTCGTTAACTCTATTTTTTTTCAAGTTTTTTGAAGAAGGTTCGTTAACTCTAGTTATTTTGACGTCCTTTGAAGCATGTTCGTTAATTCTAGTTATTTTGAAGTATTTTGAAGCACGTTCGTGAACTCTGGTTTATTTTCAAGTCTTTTGAAGTAGGTTCGTTAACTCTATTCTTTTAAGTTTTTTGAAGCAGGTTCGTTAACTCTGGCTGTTTCAAGTCTTTTGTACTTTTATTAATGCAATGAATTAAACACAGAAGGTAATGATTGTTGATGTCCCTTTTGTGAAACCCCAAGAAACACACACCCACATACAAACACACACACGTACACATACGGACACACGCACACACACACATTTTACACACAAGGGACACACGTACACACATACACATATACATGCACATGTATGTGTATAAATACATGTATGTATATACGTATAATTTAATTGTAATGGCTTATATATATATATATATATATATATATATATATATATATATATATATATATATATATATATATATATATATATATATATATATATATACGTATACTGTGTTGTATGTGGATTTTCTTTCACCAAACTCCGTGTTTACCTCCCTGTCCCCCAGGTGATCTGCCCTTGGAGAGTAAAGGCACCAACATACACCTCACCCTTTCGGATGAGGACAGACCCAAGGAGTGGGGGGCCAAGATCGTCTCTCAACAGGTGGGTCGGTCCCTCCTGGGGGTGCATGGGAAGTAGAGTTGATTGATTATCAGGTGTGGGATGTCAGGATTTTTCCACCCGGGGAAGACATACGTGACTTTAGTTTTTTTAAGTTACATAGCGTTTTTAAATCGAGTAGTTCGTATATGAAATACCTTTTTAAAATGAAAATTCGACTAGACATTACAGTAATGTCATAATAAACCGTCATCTAGGCTTTTAAAGATTTCAGGATAAAATATATTTATACGAAGTTCCACAAGAGTATACACTGTAGGGTTTTAGTTCATCTTTATAAAGAGCCTTACATAGAGACCTTATATGTTATTGTCAAAACTGATGAGTATTCACGAGACCGAGCGTTACCATGACTCCTTCTGTAACAAGTCGTGTGCCCTAGTGGGACAGTGACTCCTGTGGCCATGCGTGGCATTGACTCGTGTGGCCAAGTGTGAAAATGACTCATCTATCTATCTATATATATATAATTCTCTTCTTGGATACTCTAGAAAACACCAAAGCTGTAAGCGCGCCTCCTAGCAGCCCCCTCTCTTCCTCTCTAGGCATATCCCTACCACCCCCACCCCACATGGTCTGGTGAGCTGTGGTTCACGCTAAATGTTTACAATCGTAGAGCCGGGTTTAGTGACGGCTATCAGAGGCAGATAATTTAGCTTGAAACGATTTTAAACTTAGGGGAGGTAACTAAGAGGAGGCTGCTTTCAGGGAGGGGCGAGGGTAGGGTAGTGGTTGGGGGAAAGGAGGATGGGGGGGGGGGGTGATCGTCATTAAAGACCTACTGATAGTGTTTTAAAGCAAATATTTTCAGTGGCAGCATTGGTACTGTCGAATTCACAAAATATGAATTACTGAAAAGTAGAAAAAAAACTGAATAGCGGCATATAATATGCCGCGGGTCAGCTCGTGTAATATAACGTGACTATATGGGTATGTGTGACACTGACTTCAGTCTTCAAGTCTGACACTGACCCCTGTTGTCATATCTGACAGTTACTCGTACGGTAAAGTATGACACTGACTTCTATGTTTTCAAGTCTAACAATAACTGGTGTGGTCAAGCCTGGCACTGACTCCTATATCCCCCCCCCCCCCCCCAGGGCAACCAAGTGACCATTGAAGTTTACACCCCGCCCACCTGCTACATCGGCCAGTGGAACCTGAAGATTGACGTGGTCAAGAAACTGGACACCAACGTCAACGTTTACAGATACCAACACGCGGACCCCATTTACATCCTCTTTAACCCCTGGTGTAAAGGTGTGTAAATATTTACTCTCATGCTTTATTATATCACCTGGTAACACATGTGTTAGGCTTAGTCCACCGTATCGAATATTTTATGGTTTAATATATATAAATATATATATATATATATATATATATATATATATATATATATATATATATATATATATATATATATATATATATATATATATATATATATATATATATATATATATATATATATATATATATATATATATATATATATATATATATATATATAAAAATGGTCTCGGTCGCAAACCGTCTATCTCAGAAAATGTAAATTTTACAGGAGAGACACAAGAAAACTGGTTATTTTATTCTTGATCGATATATATTCACAAACTGCAGATGATTCTGTATATATGGAGGACGCCACACTACTGAAGGAATACGTCATGAACGAGACGGGAAAGATCTACATCGGCACCAAGAACTCCATCACTGAAAAACCCTGGAATTTCGCTCAGGTAAATCTTCTCAGGTGTAGCAAACTAGAAAATAAAAAATAAAAAAAATAATAACTCGTTTAAAAACTCGTTTAAAAAAAATATCGTTTAAAAATAAATTGACCTTGGTAACCCGTCAAAAGCCATGACACTTTAGGTCAGGCTAACCTGAAAGTTAATTCAGACGGATATTTCTGCTGTCTCTTTTGTAGATTATTTTCCCTGTATACTAGCATGTTAATTAATGGAGGCGTCGCTAAAGTCGCGTGACTCTGTTTGCATTCCCCCATATCCAATTCTTGGGTTTTTAAGACACTACATAACACTGGCTGTGTTGATATTTAACATTACATTATTAAACATTTAAGTAAATTTTTTGAACAAGGTTAACTTTTTAAAAAATGTCTTACTAATGCACAAATACAATTAAATACAAATAGAATTTACTTATGTATATTATCATAATATTTTTTTTTGTTATTTACATGTATGCACAAAAACAATGAACTAAAAATAGAATTTACTTATCTATATTATCATACATTTTTTATGTTTTTAGTAATTTTCATGTACATCTGTATCTAATTCTGTTGCGTATGTTTAAAGTTTAAATATTGTTTATTTATGTGTTGTCATTTCCTTCCTCTACTTATAACTTAATGTAGGTATACTTGTTCTATATCTACTTATCTGCTTATCCCCAGTTTGAGACTTGTATCCTTGATGTCGCTTTGTATCTTATAGATGTCGCTAACATCAGCTGGTCAGTTCGGGGAAACCCCGTACCTATTGTTAGAAAGCTCTCAGCTATGGTAATTTGTTTTTTAAATTGTTTCTTTATAGGCTTTTCAGTGGCGGTAACTGGGACTATCGCCCCACCCCTAGTATAATTTAGCATTTTCGGTTAAATAATATTATTATTTTAACTGGATGAAACATTGTCTTGATAGTAAATTGTACGCGTTTTAAAAAAAATTGTATGTTGTCACCCAATGAGCTAGGGGAAGGCGGGTGGAGCGGCCGGCCCGGGCGCCAACCCTAAAGAGGCGCAAAACTGTCTAGTAAATAATTAAAAAGCGCATTTAAGCTGAATTATACACATTCAGAGTTAAGAAAGTAAACGACTACATGGCTTTCCTCACTGATTTAACTGTTTTCTACATTAATGGTGTTGCACCACAAGAAAAACTTTACGAGATAGCGACTGGTAAAAAGTGTCACCAACCTTTTCAATTGAGGGTGGAGGGGGGGGGGCGCTTTTTTACCAACTTAAATTACTATATTTATAAATGGGCGGAGTCGCAAAACTGATAGTTCGCCCCGGGCGCCAGAACCTGTCGTTACGTCTCTACCCAAAAGATAAATTTTAAAAAATATAGTTTCATCGAAGTAATATCATATTATATTGATCAGTATAAAATATAAAGGACTTTGGGGTTTTATAAGTTTGAGTATACGGTATGCAGGCCGTTCTTAATATTTTCGTAAAACATGAAATATATATCTGTAAATTGAAATACATTGTAGGCCTTAGGGTTTATTCTACGATTCGTAAAAAACATCAAATAGACATCTATTAAAAAAAATGTTCACCTTATAAAAACTAGGTGAACTCGGTCGATGATGACGGTGTTGTCATGGGCGGCTGGTCAGGGAAATACGCTGATGGGAGACCACCCAATTCTTGGACCGGCTCGGCGACCATTTTGGAGGTGTACTGGAGCACCAAGCGGCCGGTCAAGTACGGCCAGTGCTGGGTGTTTTCTGGCATCGCCACCACAAGTAGGTCAAACATAGATATAGGGGGGGTCATCGCCACCACAAGTAGGTCAAGCAAAGATATAGGTGGGGGGGGGGTCATCGCCACCACAAGTAGGTCAAGCTTAGATAAGGGGGGGGTCATCGCCACCACAAGTAGGTCAAGCATAGATATAGGGGGGGGGGGGGTCATCGCCACCACAAGTAGGTCAAGCTTAGATATAGGTGGGGGGGGGGTCATCGCCACCACAAGTAGGTCAAACATAGATATAGGGAGAGGGGGGTCATCGTCACCACAAGTAGGTCAAGCTTAGATATGGGGGGGGGGGGGTCATCGCCACCACAAGTAGGTCAAGCTTAGATATGGGGGGGGGTCATCGCCACCACAAGTAGGTCAAGCATAGATATAGGGTGGGGGGGGGGTCATCGCCACCACAAGTAGGTCAAACATAGATATGGGGGGGGGGGTCATAGCCGCCACAAGTAGGTCAAGCATAGATATAGGGTGGGGGGGGGGTCATCGCCACCACAAGTAGGTCAAGCATAGATATAGGGTGGGGGGGGGTCATCGCCACCACAAGTAGGTCAAACATAGATATGGGGGGGGTCATAGCCGCCACAAGTAGGTCAAGCATAGATAGGGGGGTCATCGCCACCACAAGTAGGTCAAACATAGATATAGGGAGAGGGGGGGTCATCGCCACCACAAGTAGGTCAAGCATAGATAGGGGGGTCATCGCCACCACAAGTAGGTCAAACATAGATATAGGGAGAGGGGGGGTCATCGCCACCACAAGTAGGTCAAGCATAGATAGGGGGGTCATCGCCACCACAAGTAGGTCAAACATAGATATAGGGGGGGTCATCGTCACCACAAGTAGGTCAAGCATAGATAGGGGGGTCATCGCCACCACAAGTAGGTCAAACATAGATATAGGTGGGGGGGGGGGGGTCATCGCCACCACAAGTAGGTCAAACATAGATATAGGGGGGGGTCATCGTCACCACAAGTAGGTCAAACATAGATATAGGGGGGGTCATCGTCACCACAAGTAGGTCAAGCATAGATAGGGGGGTCATCGCCACCACAAGTAGGTCAAACATAGATATAGGGAGAGGGGGGGTCATCGCCACCACAAGTAGGTCAAGCATAGATAGGGGGATCATCGCCACCACAAGTAGGTCAAACATAGATATAGGTGGGGGGGGGTCATCGCCACCACAAGTAGGTCAGGAATAGATATGGGAAGGGGGAGGTCATCACTATGTCTTGCCTAAATATGAAGGGGGGGGGAGGTGGGGCTCCTAGCCGTAACAAGTATGTCCAGACTAGGTGTAGAGGGAAGAGGGGTGTCATCGCCTAGATATGTGGATGTGGGTGTGTGCGGGGGGGGGGCTTGGCTAGGTATGGAGGGGGGGTCATCTTTATTACAAGTAAGTCCAGCCTAGATATGGGGAGGGCTATGATACGGCTGATCAGAAATATTACCAACCGTCAAGTGCACAAGGAATAATATTTTTTTAAAATCTATAATTTAAAGATGTTAGCAAAAAATGACCACATGTATATAAATTATTGTAGCATAGTAAAACATTGTCCATAAAATGGAACCATCTTCTTCTTCTTCGTTCTTAATTTTTAGTGCTGGAAAGGATCGAACGCGAGACTTTAGCTTAGCAACTATGAGCCTTTTTTTTTACCACGCCGACCCCTTTCCAACACAATTAAGATTTACGTGTCAACTGGTTAAGCCCCATTGAGGCCATTGACTCCGATTTCAGCCTGCTTTTCTTTTTTGGATTTTGCTTCGATAGCCTTTGTCCAACCAAGAACAAACTACAAGGCAGCAGTTGTTTAAGTTTTTGGAGTTGTCTCTTCTAGAAGAGTGGCTGACCCCAGCTAACGAGCCTCATCTGCCCGAGGGTTCGACCTCGAGACTTTTCGATTTAGCAACCTTGAGCTTTACCGACTCGACCACGCCGACCCCTAAAATGGAACCAAAAAAATGTGTATTAGTTTCAAGACTTTGTGTCTACGCAATATTCCATTTTCGCTGTTTTCCGTTGCGCATGTTCTGGGAACCTATAGTCAGTGTGTCCATGTATGGGGTAGGGGCATCAATGTACATTTATCTTAAGTTTTATATGTTGACCGTTTGTTTAAGTGTGGGGGTGAGGGGTGAATTGTTATATCGGCCCACATACACATTATAACTATTACTCGTTGACTGTTTAAATGTGTGTGTGTGTGTGTGTGTCTGTGTGGTGGAGGGGGAAGTGGAGGTCTTGCGTAACGATTACAACTTTTATGTACAACAATAAAAAAAATCAGTATATCTCTGTTCGGTGTTAATAAAAAAAAAGACACAAATGTTGTAATAGATATAATTAAACATCAGAATTTGTATCCCTTGTCCCCCAGTCTGTCGGGCTCTGGGTATCCCCACACGGTGTGTGACCAACTACTTATCTGCCCACGATACTGACGGCTCTATCACTGTTGACGTCCACTTCACAGCAGACGGGCAGAGGGACAAGAACTCCAACAAAGATTCCATCTGGTAAGATGGCAGGGATTGTGGGATGTTATAGGGATATGGGATTATGGGATGTTATGGGGATCACATGTTATCCAGAGTAATGGGATGTTATTGGTATCTGAGGATATAGGATGTTCTAGGGATCCCAGTTTATGGGATACTCTAGGGATACGGGATTATGGGATGCTCTAGGGATACGGGATTATGGGATGTTATGGGGTTGTGAGATTATGGGATGTTCTACGGATGTGAAATTATGGGATGTTCTTGGGATCCGGGATTATGAGATGTTATAAGGATGCGGGATTATGGGAGTTTTCGGGATGTGGTATTATGGGATGTTCTACCGATGTGAAATTATGGGATGTTCTTGGGATCCGGGATTATGAGATGTTATAGGGATGCAGGATTATGGTAGTTTTCGGGATGTGGTATTATGGGGTGTTATCGGGGTCCGAGATTTATGGGATGTTATTGGGATGCAAGATAATGGGATTTTATCGGGATTTGGGATAATGGTATGTTATCGGAATCATTGAACTATCGGATGTTCTTGGGTTCCCAGGTTATTTGATGTTTAATTGGGATTCGAGATAATGTGATGTTCTAGTGATCCGATACCCTACTTTTAATCGGCTCCAGATTATCTTGATTAAATGAGCGCATGTTAACTATTGCCTGACCAGGAACTTCCACGTGTGGAACGAGGTGTGGATGTCAAGGCCAGACCTCCCCAGCGGCTACGGTGGGTGGCAGGTGATCGACGCCACCCCCCAGGAAGCCTCCGACAGTTAGACCATATTTCTTTGTTTTTAGTTTGACCATATTTCTTTGTTTTTAGTTTGACCATCTTTCTTTTGTTTTTAGTTTGACCATATTTCTTTGTTTTTAGTTTGACCATATTTCTTTGTTTTTAGTTTGACCATATTTCTTTGTTTTTAGTTTGACCATATTTCTTTGTTTTTAGTTTGACCATGTTTCTTTGTTTTTAGTTTGACCATATTTCTTTGTTTTTAGTTTGACCATATTTCTTTGTTTTTAGTTTGACCATATTTCTTTGTTTTTAGTTTGACCATATTTCTTTGTTTTTAGTTTGACCATATTTCTTTGTTTTTAGTTTGACCATATTTCTTTGTTTTTAGTTTGACCATATTTCTTTGTTTTTAGTTTGACCATATTTCTTGTTTTTAGTTTGACCATATTTCTTGTTTTTAGTTTGACCATATTTCTTTGTTTTTAGTTTGACCATATTTCTTTGTTTTTAGTTTGACCATATTTCTTTGTTTTTAGTTTGACCATATTTCTTTGTTTTTAGTTTGACCATATTTCTTTGTTTTTAGTTTGACCATATTTCTTTGTTTTTAGTTTGACCATATTTCTTTGTTTTTAGTTTGACCATATTTCTTTGTTTTTAGTTTGACCATATTTCTTTGTTTTTAGTTTGACCATATTTCTTTGTTTTTAGTTTGACCATATTTCTTTGTTTTTAGTTTGACCATATTTCTTTGTTTTTAGTTTGACCATATTTCTTTGTTTTTAGTTTGACCATATTTCTTTGTTTTTAGTTTGACCATATTTCTTTGTTTTTAGTTTGACCATATTTCTTTGTTTTTAGTTTGACCATATTTCTTTGTTTTTAGTTTGACCATATTTCTTTGTTTTTAGTTTGACAATCTTTCACATAATATATAGCACTAAAGTGTGATGTTTTTTGCCTATTTGTTAAAATTATTACTCACAACCTCTTTATCCCATAGATCATAAAATTGTTACATGTTTACCCATCCCTTACTGCTTTGTGTTATATAACAAATACATAAAATTTTTATACACGTCTGCGTAATATAGATCTAAAAACATATTTTTTTTGGAATTCATAACTTTTAGCTGAAATAATAAATTCCATTCGGGTACTCGGAAAAAAACAACAAAAGAAAAACGACTTTCGCTGTATCTGTTAGATATCTACTGAAAACATCTGTCAGATAGCTTAAATTGTGTCTGTCAGATATCCATACAAAACATAAACGTCATACTTATTGGGCTGTATTTATTTGTTAGATATCTTATTATAAGATTTGTCAGATCGTTTGAATCGTTTACGTCAAATATCTAATGAAAATATCTATCAGATTTTTTGGGTTGTATCTGTCAGATATCTAATAAACACATCTATCAGATTGCTAGTGTTGTATCTGTCAGATATCTACTGTTGTGGACCAACTTCCGTCACGGCCATCGCACAAGGGGAGGTAAATCTTCCCTATGACGGCCCTTTTGTGTTCTCTGAAGTCAACGCCGATTGCCTTTACTGGGTGCCCAATGAGTTAGGGCACATGGAAGTCAGCCAAGTTGATAGAAAGACGTAAGTAGCTAAAATGGTAAAACCCCGTATGTAGTTTCATTGACGGGATTGGCGTGGTCGAGTCGGTAAAAGCTCATGGTTGGTAAACCGAAAAATCTCGAGTTCGAACCCTCGGGCAGATTAGGTTCGACAGCTGGGGACTGCCACTCTTCTAGGAGAGACAACTCCAAAATCAAACATAGGTTTGAGGTTAGGTTTAGAGCTATTGATTGGGATAGGTTTAGCGTTAGTGTTAGCGATCAAGATAGGGTTAAGTTTAGGGTTAGTGATTGACTTTAAAATATACAATTTTGAAATCTGTGTTTTATTTTATTCATTTTTATTCATCTTTGTAAGTATGGATATTCTTGTGCGAGATCAGTTTCTCAAAGAGAGAGAGAGAGGGATTATAAGAGGGGGATATCGCGGGGGTAATGTCCTAGACCCATACACATTATTTCCTGTTTTCATTTTAGAATTGGGAAAAACATCAGCACAAAGGCCGCTAACTCTGATGCTAGAGAAGATATTACTAAGGCGTATAAACCAGATGAAGGTTAGTTTACATTTTTTAAAAAATATTTTGTTTCTTTTTTATCAAATTTTTTTTTATCACAGCATTTTGTGTTGGTTATGTGTTAAAGGTTTCGACATTTTACTAAATATAGCTAAGAAAATAGTTAACATCATTTCATGCTATTTAATACATTGTAAATGATGTAATGGGTTAAAATAACAAGTTAACATTTTTTATTTCATCAAACCAGACAAGTCTTCTGAAAGAGCCGCTGTGTTGAGGGCCATTTCAGTTGGATCAAGCAAACAGAACTTGTACAAGCAGAGATCGAATGTAAACACCTTGCTAAGTTTCTCTAGATTTTAATGCTAGAAAAACTAGGATAGTTTTAAAGGTCATATATATATATATATATATATATATATATATATATATATATATATATATATATATATATATATATATATATATCTAACATGTATATATGTACAATTTTGTTTGAATATATAAATATACACGCGCGCACACACACCTACAAACACATATTAAATATAATATATATATATATATATATATATATATATATATATATATATATATTCATATATATAGATATATCGATAGATATATAGATATATATGGATACAGATACAGATATAGAAGTATATTCAAATTTCAAATTACATTTTTAAACAATACACAGCCCACTGTCCACTTTCAGGATATCGAGTTCAACATTGACCAAATCGAAGAGGAAAACATCTTGGGGGGAACATTTCAACTGACCTTACGTATGAGAAACCGGGGAACATCCAAGCGGTCAGTGAGTGGTCGAATTGAAGTGAGGACCATGTTCTATACAGGGGTAGTGGCTGACCTGGTCAAGACTACAGACTTCACGAAAAAGGTCATCAAACCAGGGGAAGGTAACTCTTATTTACTATTTATTGGTAAAAAAATAAATCTAATTTTATGAAAATAAAAGCATCGTAACAAAAACGAAAATTATCTGCGACGACGCGGTAATATAGAGGTAATATAGAGGGCTATTTGGGATATTACACACAGTTATAAAGTACATTCTCTCCTACAGAAAAATCACAAACGATTGTGGCAACCCAGGCCGACTACGACACCAAACTCAAAGATGGCTGCATGCTTGACGTCACGGTGTGGGCGGTGGTCGAGGAGACTGACCAGTACTTCACCAAGAAAGATGACTTTAGACTTCGTAAGCCGCATCTTTCAGTCAAGGTATGACTTTATGAGTTCGTAAGCCGCATCTCGCCATTAAGGTATGACTTTAGACTTCGTAAACCGCATCTCGCCATTAAGGTATGACTTTAGACTTCGTAAGCCGCATCTCGCCATTAAGGTATGACTTTAGACTTCGTAAGCCGCATATCGCCATTAAGGTATGACTTCAGACTTCGTAAGCCGCATCTTTCAGTCAAGGTATGACTTTAGACTTCGCCGCATCTTGCCATTAAGGTATGACTTTATGACTTCATAAGCCGCATCTTTCAGTCAAGGTATGACTTTAGACTTCCTAAGCCGCATCTCACCATTAAGGTATGACTTCTGACTTCGTAAGCCGAATCTCGCCTTTAAGGTATCCTACACGATTTTAAAAGTGACTTATCCAAATTTAAATTTTACTTTACAAACATACACTATATTTACTGCTAAAACAATTTTAAAAATGAATATCTAACCAACAACTTTCTAATTGTCATCAAATGATCGCAGGCTCCAACAGAGTCCACGATTGGTCGAGAGTTTCACGTCCAAATCTCGTTCGTCAACCCGCTCAACCGTGAGCTGACCGGATGTTACGTAGCCGTGGATGGTTTGACGCATGCGCTGAACTTCCCACAAGAGTGAGTACCCCTTCTAACGTAATGCTAGTGTTACTCTAACTGTTACCAATATAAAACAACAACCTCTTTTTAAAAATCATCACATTAGCTTCAAACATCAATTAAAATGACATGGGTATTTTGTGTCAGCATTCATTTTATCATAGAATTTTTATTTATTTTTTCTGTCCCGTAGTCTAGGTAAATGGCTGGGGTGCTACTAGTCTCCTTCTAGATCGTATTTCTACATCCCAATGTCTCCCGCCGTTCTTACTGTTTCTCCCATTGTCTAACATGTCCATTCACTGGCGTTGTCCTCAATTTTTTGCATTTTGCCTATTTTTGTTTTGTTTGCCTTTCGTTTCTTGACAGAAAGTTTTTGCTAAGGCATTTCAATATTGAATCGAGTTTTTTTCAATCTGTAGCGCAGTTAATATTCGAATAACGGTTTTGGCTAGGTTTAGAGATAGGGTTTGGATCAGGGCTAGGCAGGCTTACATATAGGGTTGGGGTCTTGGCGGAAAAAATACATAGAAAATATGAACTTCAACCTGTGTCCATCCCTCTGCCACGGAGATTTTAAGTGCACCCCCCCCCCACCCCAATGGCGTAGCTAGGGGGAGGGCGAGTGGGGCGAAGACTATTAGGGGGAGTCAAAAGCAGAGTTTCTTCCAGGCTTCTCTCCCGAACGAAATGGAATTTATATAGAAATTATATACTGTTGACAGTGTCCGCCCCCCGGAAATTTTATTCCGCCCTCCGAAAATTTCAAATTCCCCCTCCGGAGAAAAATGTCTGAAAGAAACACGGGTCAAAAGTGGTAGAAAAACAACTAGAAAGCTTCTTTTAAGCGGAAATATTGTATTATACACAGTCAAAGCTAAGAAAATAAACGGCTTCAAGACTTTACACACTGATTTTATTTTTTTTTCTACATCGATTCTCTGACACCTACAAAAACTCTGGAAAGTGATTGTGACTGGTGTAACGGACACCTGTCTACCAGCCAGATAGATGGTGAACGCTCCCGGATTCTTTCTTGGGGTTATATGCAAATGACCTAAAGCCTAAATGAATGAAAACTAACTCAACAACTCACTAGGGCTCGATTTCGAGGTCTAGGGAAAACTAGTGAAACTATTGAAGTTAACAACTCATTCAATCTGCATACAAACTTTAATAAGTGAACAAAGTTGTGGCAGAACACTAGATTAAACAAGATAAAATATTTAGTTTAGAAATAACAAAACCCAACTTACAAAGCGTAAGAATAAATACTATCACAGATTCTAACACTTTATAAAAATAGTCACAGTTCACATAACACTGCTATAGCATCAAGAATCACTTGGCCACAAGTAATATAATACTAGGATACTTAAACAACTTAATAATACATAGCACACTCAGGACTTATGCTCTCTCACATTCAACTGGTCAAAATGGACTGCCTCGAGATACCTGTGGGCGATCTATTTATAGACTTAGGTAACATGGAAGGTCACCTTCAACTCATAAGACCATTGGTTGGTGTGGTCATCTGGTCTGAAACAATCAATCATCTCTCGATGGAAAATTTCTGAGTCTAAGACTCTCTTAGTAAGACAGCGAAAAAAAACCGGTGGTTGCACCACAAACCATATATGGTATTATAACAATGTCAAACTAAAAATAAAACATTACTAGACCTAAGTAGGTCACACTGGTAAAAAATTTCCACCAACCTTTTCAACTGGAGTGGGGGAAGGGGGCGGGGCGCTTTTTGATGTTTTTTGATCAACATGATGAAAGGGAGAAGGGCGCAAAATTGATAGTCGGTCTCGAGTGCTGGAATGGGTCGCTACGCTTCTGTTCCACGCCTTACGTTTCAAGAGCCCCCACCTCCCCAAATAAAAATGTCCGAAAAAAAGTCTGCGCCTGTTTCAGTATGTTATCACTTTACTCACTTCAAGAAACACATCTTCGTGCTTTTGTCCATATACTAATTAATTGTTTCACATTCCTGGTAACTATAGCAACGTTCCGGCAAACGGCACTTTCCTGGCCACACTTCCGGTGACGCCCACCAAGTCGGGCAAGACAGAGCTCATCATCGTCTTCAACTCCAACGAGCTTGATGACGTCAATGTGGCACATCACGTGACTGTCAAGAAAGCCTAGAGCCGTGACGTCACCAGGCTCTACAAGAATTTTTGTGTTCAGTTCTATGCAGGCGTTAGGGTTAGGGTTAAACTTCCGAAGTCATTGACCCCAAACTTTGTGTAAAGATAAACTCGCGGATTTTATATATTGGTATATTAATCTATATTGTTAACTACATACTACAGAAGCCAACATTTCTTTTTTTTCTTTTTAGAAAAACACATTTTAAAGATTTTTAAATTTTTAAAATGTTTTAAGCCACAGATTCACAAGGAAACTGACCGGTATTGTATATATTTTGAACTGTTATTGTTTATTCCAACTATTTGGATTGTGGTACTTGAGATTAGATTAAATCCATTTTGTGTTAAGTTGTTTTCGTTTAATAAGAGTATACAATTGACTGTTTTATTTAAGATTATATGTAATTTAATACATTAATGATTTTTCTCTCTATAATTTTAGCATGTGTAAATGCCAAAACTATTTTTTTTCAAAGTTTGTGATAATGTAAATTAAGCTCCCATCTAAAATGTATGTTATTGCTATTTATTCAAATAAATACATTTTTGTTATTAGAGCTTCATTGTAATCTAAAAAATAGGCCTAATAAATAATAATTTAATAATTTTTACAAAGCAAGTATTTGTTTTCGTTGCCTCTTTGATTATTATATGGACTACCCACATATGGGTTTTGATTGTAATATATTGAATTTGACATTGCAAAGCTTTTTTTCCCAAGCATTACTCTAAATTATTCAATCTTTTTTTTTTAAAGCAGCATTCCCCCCCCCCCCCCCCCCCAACTAGCTGGTTTCAATTTTCTTTTAATTTTTTATTTACAACTTCTTTGGGGCGTTGGAAAGTCAAATTTTGGAGTGACACAAAAACGACAAAAACCACATTAAAGATGAAGAAACTTTAACAGAAAATAAATAAAAATTAAAGATGGATAAAATAATATAAAATAAACAAAATGCATTGCAAAAAAATTGTAACGATAAAAAAGGAATATCTGTTCTCTTCTGTGATTTTGAGACGTATGGTGCCACATAAGACTTTCGTAAACCGATGCCACACATCGCCAAACGACCACCAGATGGCCTGGGAAAGTTACCAAAACTGAACTATACGGGAAACACGGGCAAAGAAATGCAAAAGTGTAAATAGTGATACATCGGACACACGGTGCGGAAATCAACAAACATCACAAGAAAGGCACTTGTTTGAAATCCCCATAGAAAGAGAAAAATGGATAGATAAAAAAAAAAAACTTAGAAAAGATCAGTTGTCAACGAAGGCCAAGCAGCCGAAATGTCAAGGAATCAACTCAAGGACTGGGTTCTGTTAGTTGTTTACTCGTATTTGTGGCACATGGGTCGATTTCTATTTATAAACAGGTGTGGATTGGCTGTGTCCAAGAGGGGCGGGAAATTTTAAAAGAGGAACCCAACCCAAGATACATTTTTCGGTGAATCTTTTTTTTTCTCATTTAAAGCTTGAATTTTACGCTTTGGTATTAAAGAATGGAAATGGTAAAATGGCGAAATACCAACAAATGGTTTAGTTTTTAAATCCAAACATTAGTAGGACTAATACAGCACAGTCGGAATTTTTTTTCCATTGGGGGCTCACCGGAATGTTTTACCATTGGGGGCTCACCGAATTTTTTTTTCCATTGGGGGCTCGCCGGAATTTTTTACCATTGGGGGCTCACTGAATTTTTTTTCCATTGGGGGCCCACCGGAATTTTTTACCACTGGGGGCCCACCGGAATTTTTTTCCATTGGGGGCCCAACGGAATTTCTTACCATTGGGGTCCCACCGGATTTTTTTTCCATTGGGGGCCCAACGGAATTTTTTTTCCATTGGGGGCCCAACGGAATTTCTTACCATTGGGGGCCCACCGGATTTTTTTTCCATTGGGGGCCCACCGGAATTTTTTTTCCATTGGGGGCCCAACGGAATTTCTTACCATTGGGGGCCCACCGGAATTTTTTTTCCATTGGGGGCCCAACGGAATTTCTTACCATTGGGGGGCCCACCGGAATTTTTTTCCATTGGGGGCCCACCGGAATTTTTCCAGGTAGACCAGCGGGCCAGAGTTTCTTCCAGGCATCTTTTCGGGGGTGGGGTGTCTTCGCCACCCCCCCCCGAACGAAATGGAATTTATATATAAAATATATACTTTTAACAATGTACCTCCCCCCCCCCCACCCCCGTAAACACAATTCAAAGCTTTTGTTACTTAATTCTAGATATGGCACATTCTTTTTACCGCACTAAAACTGCTATTTACATGATTACATCAACAAATGACATCACACACAACTTTTGTTAAACTGATATATAGCCCATTCGGTATACCATACACACCATGTGCTATTTACGTGATTACATCAACACATGACACGTTCGGTATATCACACAAAACTTTTGGTACTTAAACTTAGATATGGCCCAGTCGGTATACCATACAATCCAGTGGCGGAACTAGAAAAAAATGGCCACCCCTCAAAATTTTTTTTTGGCCCCCCCATATATATATACAGGGGCGGAACTACAGTGCCGCCAGACCCCGCAATGCGGGGGGGCCCACGCCGTTTAGGGGGCCCACAGCCGCCCATAATAATTTTTTTAAAAGTTAAAATTAATTTTCATGCATTTTTGACCTGATGGTTGTTTTGAAAAAAAAGAATACTGTAGCTGCGGTTGGAGTATCTTTATTCTATAGACACCATCCCACGCTCTTGTACATTCTCTTTCCTACAATCAAACACACGATGTTGTCGGCAAAATTCCTTTGAAAAAACATCAATTGCGCGAGAGGCCGCTAGATATTAAGACGGCTTTTTGAGACCATCCCAAATTAGGTACTGATGGATAAAAGCACATCGGTGCTTTGTTGTCCCTTTTAAGTTCCTTTCCCAGACTTCCCCTCCCGCTCTTATATATATATATATATATATATATATATATATATATATATATATATATATATATATATATTAATTTCGTCACTGGCACCTTGATAGTGGTTTTGTAAATAACAAACAGATAACAGATATAAAACAGTAGTGATATTATTTAGTAGCTAAGACATGCCGTTGCGTAAATTTTTTAAAAAAAATATACACATGAGCTGTAGTGTGAAAGATAGGCAAACGTTCAAACCACTTCCATAAATTATTTCCCTTTTCCAAATAGCCAAATAGGGGTGCTCATAAGCTCCTTTTAATAGATTTGTAATAATCAAATGAAGCAGCAGTTACTTATCTTAATTATTATTTAAAAAAAAATAAGTACTAAAGAATGGTATAGTACAATAATGAAATGTAGTTAAAACTAATAATATAAATACAAAAAAACATAAAAATAAACATAACACGAGACACCATTTCTTATACAAAGCTTTATGATTTATATACTTTTGACCGACTTAATGATTAGCAGTAATAAGGCAAACATAAATGAAAACAGATTTTCTAAACAGACCAATGCACTCATACACATAACATGTTGTTGTGATTATATTTAATTGAATTTTTTTTTCAAAACCCGATCAGGCCAGAAATGAGTATCCTATGTTCGTATTGTGTGTTTATATATATATATATATATATATATATATATATATATATATATATATATATATATATATATATATATATATATATATATATATATATATATATATGGGGGGCCCAAAAAATTTTCTTGCGGGGTGGCCCATTTTTTCTAGTTCCGCCACTGTATATATATATATATATATATATATATATATATATATATATATATATATATATATATATATATATATATACATACAAACAGAATATACGAACAGAGCATAGGATACTCATTGCTGGCCTGTTTGAATTTTGCGAAAATTGTTTTTTTTTCAATTAAAACAAATTACTACAAAACGTCATGTGTGTAAGTCAGGGGTCGGCAACCTGCGGCTCGCGAGCCGCATTCGGCTCTTTTGATGTCAAGATGCGGCTCTTCAGCTCCATGCACACATATTAATAATTATTTTAATTTATTTTTAAAACTCATAAAAATATTAGTCTGCAATACTCGGTAATTAAAGATGTAAAGTTTCTAATTTCGAGCAGAGCTTGCTAAACTGCTTTAATATGTTTTGTGCGAAACATGTGAATGTTTTATATGAATAAATATTATTTCATATTTTAAGCTATTTATTTTAAATGTAATATATATATATATATATATATATATATATATATATATATATATATATATATATATATATATATATATATATATATATATATATATATATATATATATACCTAATGAAATATCATAATATTGAAATATAATTATCATTAAAAAAGTTTAAAAAAACCCACGTTTTCTGATTGAACTAAAAAGTAGAAAATAAATACTATACATCACAATAATGCAAGCGATCACTCTACTATAAGCGATGAAAAACGTGGGGCGCCGAAGTAAAAGTTTTTTATCGGTCATTGTTAATATAAGATGTAAAAGTTATATTACTATTGATTAGATAATATTATTGACTTTTATTAGGGAGCTTGAAGAGAGTCAACAGTATTAGAAACTGTAAGAAAATCACGGCGCCCCACGTTTTCCATCGCTTATAGTAGAGTGATCGCTTGCATTATTGTGATGTATAGTATTTATTTTCTACTATTTAGTTCAATCAGAAAACGTGGGTTTTTTAAAACTTTTTTAATGATAATTATTTTCTACTTTTTAGTCTTTGTCTGTTTGTTTGCATTAAAATCTTGCTATCGATTTTATCTTTTCGCATTCACTTTTTTTTTTGGTAAACGAAGACAACTCGTAAAAACACGTGCCGTGAACACGTGTCGAGTGGGTTAGCAATCGTGTGCCCAACCACTCGACCATATCGTCTCCCCCATACTGGCCAGCAGTTGTTACGTTCCGGTTGTTTGTACACAAACACCGCGTGACTACTACTCAGTAAGCCAAAAGAGGGAGAGTACCGAACCTTGTTTTCATCAAATTACAATTACTGGGTT